TATCTGGATTTGTTTGGTAATCTGCTGAAGTGCTTTGTGAAGCAAAAACTGAGTCACATGTGATTTATAATGACCAACTTTGTCAGACTGAAGAAATATGAATCCTTGGGTAAATCAAGCAGTGCTGTTCCCTGAATTTGGTCCTATGAAATCCTAATGTTTAAAAAAAGGCCTGATGAGTAATGAGCACTCTATAAAACACCAAAAGGGCATTGCAGAAAGACTTTGACTAACGCTGGAGTAACACAGCTATCGGTATTGAGCAAATCAGACAAAAACCTGGCACAGCTCACTTCCTTTGATCTGGGAGATCTCAGACTCCGTGCTAGGAGCTGCTTCAACAAATGTAGCCATACCATTGTTGTGAAAACATTGCCCCAAAAGGGCTAAGGACACCTTTTGCTACCAGCAGAATGAGATCTGGCTGATGTGAATTGCTCATAGAGCAAATCAAGCCTAAACATCTCTAGTGGTTTCCTTGTGTTTCACCACTTAATGCTTCCACAGTTTTCAGATGTAATGTTTGATTTTTCTCAGTGGATATCAAAGATAATATCAAACAAAACAGAAATAAAAAAGCACAAACCGAATGAAGCAAACTAATATGTGAAGTCCATCTTTTACTTTGTTTTCTACTGCCTTGTTAGAAACTGAGTTACTTGTTAAAATTCTCTTCAGAGCAGTTAAACCTCTTGAAAAGTCCAAATGTCTGGATGGCAGGAGAGCAAAATATTTACTAAAACTCTCACATTGATGAAGGCTTTTCTGGGTCAGTAATGGTTGTCTCCATGAACAAATGAATGGTGATGCTTTTTTTGCTCCAGATATTCATTTTGCTGCTGCCTTTCATGTCCTGAGGTGGAGACTCAAAGGAAAACATTCTGAAATACTCTGTTACAGGCTGGAAACTCAGGAATAGAAAAAAATAATACCTGCCTACCAAAAGTGCTTTGCATCTTGTAAAGTTTAATTCAGTTGTGTTAACAGCTTGTTGTGTGAATAAAAACTAACAAGACCAGTAACTTGTAAGAGAAATAATGAGTTTGATCTGTTCTCTTTCAAATACAGGCAAAAAGTTTGGTGGCTTAGAAGGAATCCGGGTCCTGCCCACTTCTCAGTTGTTGGTTTTCACCACTGGATTATCTTAGCCTGAGAACCGAAAGCTACAGGTAACAAGTAAATATGGAAACACATAATTTACTTGTTTACATTGTGCACTGTGATCTCATTGGCTGCTCCTTATCTATTTGTTAGTCACGCTGAGAACTGAACCAACTAGGGAAGAAAATCACATCCTCACTGGAAGGGTGTTTGCTGCTCTACATAAAGAGCAAAGTCTGGGTTTGACTTTCACTCTTCTGTCCAGGATTCTGTCAGACACATACCTCAATACCTCTGTCAGATACCCTGTCAGCCAGGGCAGCTCGATGCAAGCGATGGAATCAATCCCTCAGCCTCTCCTGCAACAGAAAGCACTTTCCTTCACTTCCAGTAAGATTGGCTTTGATCAGAAGCGCATCCCAAGCCTGCACACTTCATTTTCTTTTCCCACGTGGCGGCTGGGGGCTGTGATGCCTTATAGGGAGCTGTGGCTCGCCTCGGGGGCTGTCTAGACTGCTCGACTCCGATCGTGCTGGGAATTCGGGCCAGACAGCAGCGCCGCCGCTTCCGCCGTGACTCAGTGCCTGGAGCGGAGCTGTGCTGAGTCAGGGCAGCGGGAGAGACCTCGCCTTGGGCAGCCCAAAGGGGCACGGGACAGCTGCGAAACAACAACCCCAACAGAGGGAGGAAAGCCTTTGGGATGAGGGATGAGTGCCCCTGACTCTGAGTCGCTCCTATGGGCCGGCTTTGCAATTTCCGACAGCAAGAAGTGCTGCGCAGCCAGTCCCTAGGAAGCCAAAATTGATCACATGTAAAAAAAAGTTTGGCATCTTAAAGATAACTTATTCTTCACTGCCTGTGTGATGCTGTGAGCTTATAAAGTCCTTAGGAAGCCAAAATTGATCATTTGGTAAAAAGAAAAAAAAAAAATAAATCTAGTGTCTTAAAGATAACTTATCCTTTGCTGATTATGTGATGTTGTGAGGTTGCATAGTTCCTAGGAAGCCCAAATTGATCATTTGGTAAAAAAAAAAATTCTAGTATCTTAAAGATAACTTATGCTTTACTGCTTGTGTGATGTTGAGAGGTTATACGGTCCCCAGGAAGCTAAAATTGATCATTTGGTAAAAAATAAGTCTAGTGTCCTAAAGATAACTTATCCTTCACTGCTTGTGTGGTGTTGTGAAGTCATACAGTCCCTAGGAATGTTTTTGGCAAAAACATTCTAGTATCTTAAAGATAACTTATTCTTCACTGCTTGCACAATGTTTTGAAGTTATACAGTCCCTAGGAAGCCAAAATTGATCATATGTAAAAAAAATTCTAGTATCTTAAAGATAACTTCACCTTCAGTGCTTGTGTGAGGATGTGAAGTTATGCAGTCCCTAGGAATTTTTTTGGTCAAAAAATTCTAGTATCTTAAAGATAACTTATTCTTGACACTATGAGGTTATACAGTCCATAAGAAAAAAAACCTGATCATTTGGTAAAAAAAAATAGTATCTTAAAGATAACTTATGCTTCACTGCTTGTGCGATGTTGTGAGGTTATGCAGTCCCTAGGAAGCCAGAACTGATAATTTGGTTAAAAAATCTAATATCTTAAAGATAACCTACCCTTCACTACTTATGTGATGTTGTGAGGTTATACAGTCCCTAGGAAGCCAAAATTGATCATATGTAAAAAAAATTTCTAGTATCTTAAAGATAACTTCACCTTCAGTGCTTGTGTGAGGATGTGAAGTTATGCAGTCCCTAGGAATTTTTTTGGTCAAAAAATTCTAGTATCTTAAAGATAACTTATTCTTGACACTATGAGGTTATACAGTCCATAAGAAAAAAACCCTGATCATTTGGTAAAAAAAATTAGTATCTTAAAGATAACTTATGCTTCACTGCTTGTGCGATGTTGTGAGGTTATACAATCCCTAGGAAGTCAAAATTGATCATTTGGTAAAAAATAAGTCTAGTGTCCTAAAGATAACTTATCCTTCAGTGCTTTTGTGATGTTGTGAGGTTATGCAGTCCCTAGGAAGCCAGAACTGATAATTTGGTTAAAAAAATCTAATATCTTAAAGATAACCTACCCTTCACTACTTGTGTGACGTTGTGAGGTTATACAGTCCCTAGGAAGCCAAAACTGATAATTTGGTAAAAAAAATTTCGAATATCTTAAAGATAACTTATGCTTCACTGCTTGTGTGATGTTGTGAGGTTATGCAACCAAGTGGAGAAAATCAATCCTCCTTTTCCCTTAGTTAGTTACTGATCAAACTACTCATAAACTACTCTTTTGGTTTATTGCCCTATTTACTAGAGTTTGGAAACTTATTAACTCATCTGCAGTTTTGCTTTGATCAGGTCTGCAGTATAAAAGTTCTGAGATAAGTCAGTAAATAACAATAAAAAAATGTGGAGTTTGTATTTGTTTGGTTCCGTGTTGTTTTTTTTTTTTAACCTGCTGAGGCAGCAAAGTTAGAAAAATCAGCAACAAGTATCAAATTTATGTATAGGAACTCCCCTTCTTGATAGAATTTTTAAGAGGGTTTCTGAAGAAATGATAACCGCAAGGGCAAGTAAATGGAACACAGGAGTAGCTGGTGGTTCTTTGGATTTTCCTCTGCTTATTGTGGAAATGTTTTGAGATTCCTGTTAAACTAATTTGGCCCCTTGGTAAATATGTAAGGATTTTTTAACTTTTATTTAGGGCTTGAAACATCATTATTTGTTTTGTAACTTTTTATTATGCTCACAATGAGGAACGCAAAAAGTTTAGACTTTTGGTGGCAATAAACTCCAGTCCTGCTATGTTGTACAAATTAATATGAATTAATTGCTCTTTGTAGGTGTTCAGCATGTTTTCTTTTACCTGAGACACTGCTGTACTCAGCAGATATTGAACTCTCATAGGGGCTGGGGAGGACAAGGCTGCAACTGACTGAGCCAGGATGACAGCGCTAAAATGTTATTAGTGAGAGATGATACAAGAGCTACAAAGTGCAACTGAGGAGTTGGGGCTGCAGCAGGTGGTTCTTCCTTAGGTGGGCAGTGCAGGGGTGCAACAGTAACAGAGACCTCCATCAGGGAGGATTTCCAGTTTCCCTCCTCCCAGCCTTGCGCCTGCTGCTGCGACCCTGGAATTTAAAATTACTTCATTTAATAGCCTATGTGTTTGAAAATCAGGGTGGTGTGGTTTTTTGGTTTGTTTATTTGTTGGTTTTTTGTTTTGTTTTGGTTTTTTTTTACCTCCATGGCCGTGTCCACATTGGCACTCCCTTCACTCTTTGCTTAGCAGCTTTCCTGAAAGACTGGTTCAGAAACAGTCTTGGTAAGAGACTTCAGACTTGGTAAAAGACTGGTTCGCCAAACAGACTTGCTAAGACCACACACGGATGTCTCACACTCTTCAAATTTCTAGCACTCCTTCATAGGATGGTACAATGGTTTGTGCTGGAAGGGACCTTAAGGACCATCTTATCCACCCCGTGCCATGGGCAGGAACACCTTCCACTATCCCAGGTTGCTCCAAGCCCCATCCAACCTGGCCTTGAACACTTCCAGGGACGGGGCAGCTTCTCTGGGCAGCTTCCAGGGCTTCACCACCGTCACAAGAAATGTTTTCCTTGACTTTCCTCCAGCCTTCGGCTCGGGCGGAGATGAGAGCGGGATGCCTGGAGCGAGAGCAGTTCCGCGGGTGCCGTACCGGGCCGTGCCGGGCCGGGCCGAGCGCTCCCGGCGGAAGAGAGCGACAGCGGCGTCCCGGGCTCGGAGCGGCCAGGGCCCGCCCCCGGCACCACATGATGCCGCCTCTCCTTCCTGCCGCCCCCGTCCCGGCCAGAAAGGGGAAGTGGCTGCGCTGCGCTCCCCGCCCCGCCGCGGGAAACGCGGGGCCGGCGTCCCGGCAGAGCCGCGCCCGCGGAGCAGCGCGGCCGGGCCACGATGCTGCTGCCGCCGCCGCCGCTGCTGCTGCTGCTGCTGGGCGCCGCGCTGGCCCCGGGCAGCGCCTTCAACCTGGACGTGGAGCGCCCGGCCGTCTACTCGGGCCCGGCCGGCAGCTACTTCGGCTTCGCCGTGGACTTCTTCGCCCCCGACCCGCTCTCGTAAGTGCGCGTCCCGTCCCGCCCCGTCCTGCCCCGTCCTGCCCCGCCGAGCCCGGAGCGGCGCTGTCCCGGCCGGGAGCCGGGCGGAGGATGCGGAGCTGCCCCCGCTCCCTCTGTGGCAGGCGGGCCGGGGCGGCTCTCGGAGGGAACGCGGCTCTGCTGAGGCCCCGGAGCGGGGATGGAGCCGGTGTCGGTGCCCAACAAGGACCGCTCCGCATCCCTGCCCCGCTGGGGCGGCTCTGGGGCCGGGACACCTCACCACTCCGGCGGGGCACGAACCTTGTGCTGCGGGATTCTCTGCATAGCCCGGTCTCACGCAAATGATGGTGGTGATAAATACGGCGTGGAAAGATGTAGTTGTGGTGTTTTGGTTCCTGGAGGTGCGTGCCGTGGCGTTTCAGGAGATCTGCTGTTCTCTCCTTGAGTGTGCTTTGCGGGAGTGCTGTGTTTGAATAGTGGTGAGTCTGTGCGAGTCACCGAGGAGTCTGGAGAGGGAAAAGTTCCATGTAAGCTCTCTCCACGTCTGCTTCCTGAATAGGTTCCCGTTTCATGTTAAAGATTAGGCAGTGTGCCGTCGCTGTTGCGTTTCAGACCTTTGAATCCTCGCCTCGCTCTCTCGGCGTTGCCAGAATGAATCAGGCTCTGGCTCTGAAATGCGGGCTACAGTAACACCCAGCTTTTGTCGCTTCCCTCCACTCCTCTCCCATCTTAAGGGCTGTAAGATTGGAAAAGCTGCTGGCTTTCATCCTGCTGAAGGGATATTCTCTCTCCCCCCTTAATCTTTAGCTTGTGAAACTTTATAAGCAATTGTACAGCTATTGAGCAAGTCTTTCTGTACTACATCATCTAGCTTTGTTTGCATTTTTTTTATTACCTACATATATTAGAAGCCATCCTGTCTTAACTTGCACACGTTGCACCATCTTTCTCTGCTATCTTAAGTCTTGGTACTAAAAGAAAAAAAAGCTTCTATTTTTGTCCCGCCCTTTATTTTTGAGTCCACATGTGTGGCTGCAGAGTTATCAAGAGACTGGTAAATGGATGTAATAAACTTTCTTCCTTGCTTTCTGATAAGGAATTATGTGACACAGCTCTCCATGAAATCACTATTTGGAAGCTTTCCATTATTTTTATAAGAACTATTGACCTCCAAGTGCAGTGCTGTTAAAGAAAACAGTGTGGTTGTCAGGCAGCATGAAAAGCTTCTGTATATTTCAAAGGGAATACTCTCCTTGTTTGTTTGGGGTTTTTTTGTTTGTTTGTCATCACTGAAATTTTGTTTGTACCTGCTAAGCTCTTCACTTTATTTTGCATTAAAGTTCGTAATTGACCCAAGTAGCTCTGCAACTTTCACAGGAGCAGGCTCTTGTGGTGTTCAGTTTTCAGTTTATGCCTATGGACACTGATATTTTTCCTCCTGAAATAGCCAGAAATACTTGTATGCAGTGTCCAGGCGTATGGGGTGTGACGTGGTTCCTATGCCTTTCTTTTTGCTTTGGAGAGATTTTATTCATCACCTGTTTTAGAGCTTTCATTCATCACCTGTTTTATACATCAGTACCAGAGATTAAGTCAGTTTCCTTGGGCTAAAGCTGTTTGGATTGCCTAGCCTGACAACAAAGGCATGCTGGTAGTTCCTGAATGCTCAGGCTGCTGTTTCACAGTCTATTTTGACCTGCTGGATGCCAAACTGAAGCGTATTTAGAAATCCAGGGTGAAATCCCATTCCGGGAGTAGAAGTGGTGGTGTTGTGTCCGGGTGCCTGATAGTGGACACAGCTTTTACAGGAGACAGCTCCTTAACAAATGAAACAGGTTTCTCACACACCCTCTGCTGCACTTGATAGTCCAGGATGCACCTCCAGGGAAGGCCCAGTTTCTTTGTTGCTCATGGAAATCCCTGGAAAATCAACTAGAGGTGCCAGAACACTCGTAGTGTTGCCCCAGCATTGGGGTGGATGGTTCAGGACCATGATTCAGGAAATTGGCAATACTCTAAAGCATAGCTGGTGTATTCCCATGGAAATACAATTGTCCCTCTATTCCCTCTTTCCCAAAGTATGTGGATAAGAGACTTCTAAGAATTTGGGTCATTTGCATATTATTATTAGAGCAGTGACAAAGTCTACTTTCTTGGTCTCTGATGATGAAAATGCATTTTTTTTATTTGGGGAAAAGACCTTTGTGGAGCCACAAAAATGATTCCTATATTCCTGTTTAATAAACCTCACCACAAATATTAGCCTAAGAAAAAATTAAAATATATAATTAGAATGGGAATGAATAAATCTTTTAAACAAATGCTTCATTTGGGGGACTTCTCAAAAGTCAGTGGTACAAGAGTAAAATGGGAAGTAAGCTACCACTTGTTTAATAGATTGTAATTATAATAATTGATATGTTTCTTTACTTGGCATTATGATGTTCATTTGTAAGCCTTTCTGTTCTGCCCAGAGAGCTGATTTTAAGTGATTAAAGTGTTTCAAATTCCTGCTCTAAAAATCTAGACAGTCTAAGAATGGCAAATAGGGAAAACAAATGGATTGCCAACTAGCCTGGATTTTCTATCAGTGTCCATGCCAGGACATTTTTAAGGTTCTGAAAATTCACACAGGTTGAAAAGTGGTACATCTTCATGCAAACTGAGCTTTGATGAGGTGCTGCATGTTTACACCTATGCTTATCTCTTTACTGGAAAGGAGCCTGGAGATGGCTCTGAAAACCAGAGCCAGTTTGATAAGCCTGGCTTTGCCTGCCTGTAGACATTCTCCCCAACCAGTCCTGCAGCTTGTTCAGCTAAGCCAGCTTCCAAACCAGAGAACTGTAGAGCCTGACAAGACTTGCTCCTGCAGGCTGCGCTCCCTCTTCAGCAGTGCCAAGGGAAGAGGCAGAGCAGGCTCACTGATGAGAGGAAGCACTTGATTTTGACTTCATGCTTCACACTGACTCTCTCAGTCAAGTGCTGATGTGTCAAGTGGGTCTCAGAGGTGCTGGGGCTCCTGCAAGAGCCTTGTTCAGTCTGTTTGCTCCTTTGGCACTTCTGAATTTTGCCACCCGTGCAGGAACACAGTGCAGGCAGTTCCTGCTGGGGGGCACCCAGCAAGTGTCTGCAGAGGCAGGGATGCAGAAAGGCACAGCAGATGCTGATAGGGAAGTGATGAGTGTGCAGAGAGTGTGGGTGAGGATTCATCAGCATGCAGATCTGTGGCTCGGGGTGGCTGGCACTCGGGTGTTGTTTTTGCCAGAGCCCTCGCTCAGGCAGGGCTGACTCATCACGTTCAGGACACGCTGAGCTCCCAGCCCGCTGCTGCTTTGTTTGTACGTTGTTTCCATTTCTGACTGACTTCCCTGAATTACCCTTACTCACGAAATTAACAGAAATTATGCCACCTGATGGCTTTCGTAAGGTACAGAAGTGCACAATTTCCTCTTCTGCTGTGCACGTATGTATTTTTGGAAGGAAAAAAGAATAATATGAAAGGTGTTTCTCTCATTTAAAATACAATCCTAAGGAGGCCTGGGTACTTTAAATTTGTCATATCTTTTTTCTCTCTTCTTTTGGTGATTTTTTTCATGCAGAAAAGAGAACTTCATATGAATTTCTCTAACTGAGAGTAGTTGGAGTTGGATTTAGGTTAGAGCAGGCAAGACTTCTGCTTTATATCATAAAGTTATAACAGCTGTGCCTTAGCTGTTGAAACCTTTTAAAATATATTTAAAATATGTAATTAGAATGGGAACAAATAAATCTTTTAAACAAGTGTTTAAAGGTTTTTTGTGTTCTGCTTCTTCTTTTTCCTGCAGGACATATCTTCTGGTGGGAGCTCCCAAAGCCAACACTAGCCAGCACAACATCGTAGAGGGAGGGCAGGTGCTCAAGTGCAGCTGGAACTCCAACAGGAACTGCCAGCCCATTGTGTTTGATGCCACAGGTAATGTGTGGGTCACTGTGGGGGAGGTGGGATGTCTCTGCTCTGATGTGGGGAAGCAGAAAGATTTCAGGTCCCTGTGGGATTTTTTCATGCTCAGTGTGAATGTGGTTGGTTTTTGACTGGCAGCTAGTCAAGACTTGCTTGTGCCCTCCTTTTCCTCTCCTCTCTCTTAGAATGGTTGTCCCTGGTATGTGCTGAAAGCCTGAGTGAGCAAACATTATCCTTCTTGCATTTTAACCTATTTATATTTCTCCTCTGTACTTTCCAGCAACCCTAAAACATTTGGCAACCTAATTCCCAATGAACCCTGAGGGGTTTTCTTCCTATTTAGAACATGTCATATGAGGAAAGATGCTTTTCAATATCAGCAAAGGTGGTTTAGGCAGAAATACCCAAAAGTTTCATCTGAAAACAGGAATTTGGCCTAAAAACTGTGAAAAATATATTTTTTAATTTTTTTCCCTTCAGATATACCTCCACAGTGTTTGTGGTTTCTGTGATAGCAGCACTGAGGTCATAGGCACTCCTTACCCATTGCTGAAGCACATTTAAAGAGCTGAGCAGCAGCAGTGTGGACATGAAACATTTCAGTCATTCCTCATGCTCTGGTGCACACAGTGATTTCCACAGGCTGTGGCAGGTCATGGGAATGCTCTGCATGTGCTTTTCTGCTCCAGCCCCTCGCTGCTGAATCCTGTTTTCCACAGCGTGTTGCAGGGCAGCGGAAAAACCTCCCCGTGGCACGGCAGGGGATTAGCAAGACCCATGTGGAAAGGCAGAGGAAACACCTGTGCCTTGAAGGTCTGGTTGGTTGTAATTCATTCTTGCCTCTGCCAGTATTTTGACTCGGCAGCCTAAAAGTTGCTAGATTGATGCAGCCTTTTTAAATAGTGTGCAACAGAGTGGAGAAGCCCTTCTTCCAATTCCACTGTCAATATATGCCACAAAATGTTGTTGCTGTTCAGATTTCTGAAATCTTCATATCTTTTTGTGAAAACCACTATGTCACCAGTTTCCTTGCAAAAAACAAAAAAGGAAAGAAGTATGCAATGGCATCCACAAACCCCAAGTCATTATCATTTCTTCACTTATTTATCATTCTCTCATATCATTCTGTGGGAGCATATCTGTCAGATTACTAAAGATCTCTAATAAGCTGCAAAGTCTGATGTTTTTTTCTGCATCAGTGTCCAGGCAGCAAAATCAGATTAGAACTGTCTTCTTTTTGCTGTTGTTCTCTTATAACTGTCTTCTTTTTGTTGTTCTCTGGGCTTATTGTTTATTAGAATACAAGTGTGCATTTTGTTAGTCTGGGTGCTTTTAAGAAAGAATCTTGATGTCCCTAGCTAATAATTATCATTAATATCATAGCATGTAGGTTCTAAACACATCTTCCAATGGGAATTACAGTGCATTTATGATTTTATGCTGTGAACATTTGCAGTAGGCTTTTCCATGTGCCAGGTGGAGTTGATAGAGGCCGCACTGCCTTCCTGCATATCTGTGCTTAAGGGATGTGCTCCTGGGCAAACAGACAGTGTTTTGCTTGTCATTTTCCTGTAAGGTACAGCCATGTTAATTGCTTGAAATTTAACAGTAAAAATAGCAGGTCATGAAGGCTTAAGAGGATTTCTTTCAGGCAGGCTTTAACTCACTCCAGCTTTGAGGCAATGAATGGGGGAATAATGCATTTGTCAATTATTATCCTGGTGAAAAGGGGCATTGTGTTTCAGCTTGATAAAATAATGAATGCCCTGAGACAAAAAAAGAAAATGTCTTTTTCTTTGTGCATAGCACAATGCTCGATTCCCTGTGTTCTGGTGACAAAGTCAGTGCCAGCACTGGGAGCTGCTGCTCCTGCCTGCCCCTGCCCCTGCCTGTGAGGGAGCAGGGATTAGGGAACGCTCCCGACCCACTTTGGGAAGCAGGAAGTGGAAGATCTGACCACTGACTTGTGGTGCTGATGCAAAGGGGCTTTTTGTGGATGACTAAATGCAGCCTCTGCAGGAACCCAGGCTCATCCATCTCTGCTCATCATTTGTGCAATACCATCTGTAACTCCAGAGGTATTGCTTAGCCCTGCCATACCAGGCAGATTTTTTATTCCCTCCCAGATTCACTGGAAAAACCAGGATCTGCATCATTACTTAGATGTGTTTCTTCAGAATCTTTTTCTAATTGCTTACAGCCAGTGAGGAATCTGACCTGGGAAAATAATGAGAATGCTTGTCCTTGTGGCTTTCCTCTCTTTGCCTGACGATGCCAAACTCTGTAAGTGGAGCTGGATGCCCTGTAATTAACAGGCGTCATGACCCTGTTCCTGCTCCTTCTGCCAGGTAGCACAGCTGGAAATGCCAGAGCAGGCCAGAGGGAACATGGCAAGGGAATGGAGGAATTGTTCTGACTGTGTAGGGTTGGTTTTTTTCCCTATTTTACATCACAAATAAATATGAGACTAGGGGTTTACAGAGGTCCAGCAAGCAGGGTTTCTTCCTCTAGATGTTGTTCTATTACTATTAATTAGGACTATTTCTTCTTAAACATTCAGTGGTTTTTTATTTAAACTTTTCTACAGCTTTATGGGATAAAGCTGTTTTTTCTTCCCCATCTGTACAAAGGCCATGCTGAGCTCACTGGCTGGACAGGGCTGGGGTTTGTTTTCCAGCTCTTGCTTTTGGCTTTAACATCATATTTGCAGACCAGTGTGGCCATTTATGTGATCAAATGCCACAGCTCTTCTGTAGCCCAGGAGGGAAGGTACCAGCTCCTGAGAATAACCTTTGGAAGAGCTGTTCCAGCCCTCAAGTTCAGCAGCATTGCTTGCTCACTTGCACTCACCCTCACCCCAGCTGCCCTGGAGGAAGGTGATAAGTCACTGAGCTGATTCCTGTATTACAGAATTTACTGCTTTGTGTATTCCTTCCTGTGGGGGAACACTCAGCTCTGCCAGGAGTAGGAGTCCTTTTGTGCAATGTCATTTATGTAGCTCTCATGCTGAAATTACATGTATTTCCCTCCTTTTCATCATTTCTTTTTTGCCTTTCCCATCAGCCTGTAACATAAAAACCAAAATCAAACCAAAGCAGTTGTTATAATTTTTAAACCTCTGGCTAAAAAAGCAATGTTCTTTCACAGCATATTTTCTCATTTAAGACAGCAATGTATTTCATGGAATCACAAAATGGTTTGGGTTGAAAGGGACCTTGAAGATGACCCAGTTCCCACCCCCTGCCATGGGCAGGGAGAATTCGTGGAAGGGAATCTCCCCTTGTCCTGCATCTCTCAGCACAGTGAAATTCACTGGAGAATATTCTCTCTGTGTGTTTCTGTGCACATTACGCTAATTGCTTTTGACATTCTGGTATATATGGTGGCTTTGGAAGGCAAAATGTTTATATGGCACATTAACACTTCCCAAATGCAAGGATGCTTTGCTGTGGGGCTGCTCAGCCTTTCAGCTGGGACATCAGTTGGCTTTGATTTAACGCAGTTGTGACTGTGTGAAAGTGGCATAACAGACGTGTGTGGTGGAGCCTGCCCTGGAGTTCAGGGTGCACGTGGCTCTGCTGGGCTAGAAATTAAAAAAAAGATTTTCTAATGTCATCAGGCAAGTGTTTCAGGCTGGCTTCTGCCCTTGGGAGCACATCAAGGTAGTAGGCTAAGAAGGAATAAGCACCACAGCAAGCATGCTAACCTGCACACCTCTGCTGGTCCTGTTACAAAACTGAAATATGAAGCAGTGCTGCTGTTAATTTAACAGGTTATCCTGCAAGTCTAGATAGAAACAGGTCTGATTTAAATACTTTTTTAAAATACTTTTTTTAACCCTATTCCTGTTTACCTTGTTAATTCAGCAGTGAAGATGCCTCTTTCACAAAACTAAAATTTCTGGCATTGGTTTTCTTCTATATCTTGACTTTTTTCGACAAGTGACAAAGCATGACCACAGTTTCAATTCAATTGCTATATAAAATACTTGGAATTTTTGCCCTCTGTCCCAGTTAACTTTCAGACCTTCAGAATGTGTAGGAGGCCCTATTTTTTCAGGGCAAGCACTGAAGGGAAATTTATATTGTCAAGATAGTATATTCTTCAAAATTTTCATAAACACAAGCAAAGATAATAAATCCTTTCCCCTCTGCAAGATGTTTTACATTCAAATTAACCAGAATCACAGGTTGTAGCTCAAGATAAATATTGATCTTCATTCATTCTTATCTGTTCTCCGCACTGGATAATGTTGTGACCAAAAATTAAGTTTTTTTTTTGGTTTAAATTCATCAAAGTAGGGGAATGCTCTGAATTTTGTGAAGAAGTATCTGGGGAAGCAAGTAGTGGAAAAACTGCTTTTACACCTGGCTGAGCCCTTTCCACCAGACTGACCAGAGACGTGGTTCCTCTTAGAAAGTTTAACACTTGGCTTTCTCTGCCAGCTGCTTAGCAGCTTTTTCCAGGAAAAACATATTTCTTGTGGGTAAACCGTGAAAGGAATGCACGTAATAAGCAGCCCATTTTCTGTTTCTGATCAGTTCTGAGGCCAAGGTCCAAACCCATTTGTTTTAAAGCTGTATCAGTCTCCATCTCCTTTTTTCATCTTCACAGACTGGCACAGAAACTTTTTTGTGGACAGTACCAGATATTGCCAATGGAGTTTCCATAGTCTTCCTCAGGAAAAAGATTCCTGGAAAGTTAAAGTGTATTGCACAAGTTAAGCTTATTTTGTGTAGTTGTCCATTCTCTGTGTATAAAAGTAAACATTTTTTTATTCTGTGCAACAGTAGGCTCAGAAGTTCACTGTGCCAGACAACAAAACCAGTAAGCAGAGGGATGGCCAAATGTGTTTTTTAGGAAAATCAACACATCATCTTTATGTTTTTACTTCTGTGTTTTACAGTTAGGCATGCACGGAATGGCAGGGTTGATACACTTAGCTAACTGTCTAAATAAGTGCCTCCATTATTTGCCCCTGGAATTTTAGAGGATCATTTTGAGTTTTCTCT